TATAGGTTTACCTTACTAACATATATGGAGTGGCCAAGGCCCAAAATAAAGTTTAATTAGTTAGGTTTCTTGAGGACGTATTTAGTACTTAATTAGTGTCGACTGAACTCTTTGTATTACATTCTAATGTATTGTCTTCTATTTGTTGATGGAAGATTTTAGATTTGACTCTTAGTTTGATTGCCACTGAGTGACTTGGCCTGATTGAATTGCAGAAAAGTCATAAGCTAATCAATAACCATCATCAGATCAGATTAACACTCAGACTACATATGTATTCATAAGATAAGTTTATGGGTAAATTACACTGACCACCTTAGATTTCACGTCTATTACAATCTTATACAACATCTTCAAAATATTTCACTTTCATATCTCAAGTATTATTTTATTTTAGATTTGAGGATGTATTATATTGAAATAAAGTAGTACATGCGGTATGAAAATAAAATATTTTGGAGATATTGTATGGGATTACAATAGATTTCAAACCTAAGGTGGTAAAGTATAATTTACTCTAAGTTTATCATTAACCACACGTCACATTTAACTACGTAAGACTCACAGCTTGTAAGGTGGGGGTCTACTTGCCACCATCATACATTTGACTAAGCTCACATTATGTCAGTCAGGTGGGGGTCCAGACTTCCACCCTCACATTAAATTAAGGGCTGGTTTGGTATTGTTGTGTTTCGAAAAAAAACTGATTCTGTTGTGCTGTGACAATAAACTTATTTTTGCTGCTTCACGTTTTCAGTTTTTTCCACCGAAAACTGTGAAAATAAGCTGTTTTTAAGTGTTTACCAAACATCTTTTTGAGCTCAGTTTTTTTATACCCATTTTTTATAAAAGCATCTCAGTACCAAACCAATCCTAAAGGCGTGTTTACTGGCGCCGCAGCCGGAGATTTTTCAAACCATTTTCCTTTGTTTTCTTTACTTTGCTTATTTCTTTAATCATTTTAATTAAATTCGTTTTTATTATTTTTAAATTTAAAATCAACCTTTTTTAATTTTTGTTTTCAAGTAATTAACTAAGATTTTGGTTTTGTATAAATTGTTTTAAATAATTCAAACGAGCTTGCTTGAGTCGTTTATACTACAATGACCTTGTTCTCGTGCAAGTATTTTTTTAGTGTTTTTATCTCTACTTTTGCAGGTGGTAAAAATTCTAACATTTACGTATCTGTAATCGGAATAAAAATGTAGAATTGAATTCCGATTATGGAATAATCCGATGTTTACTAAACATTGAGGAACAAAAAACAAAATAGTGGAGCCCACATAAATTTTGAAATTAAATTCCTTGTATTGGTGGAATTGGATCCCATACATCTAGATGGTAATCCAATTTCTGATTGCTTCGGCAATCGGAATGACACTTTTGTTCCCTTTATGCCCTCACTTACTTTTTTTATCTCCAAGACTATCCTTTATAAACCCATTAACCCTAGTTTAATTATGCACAACTCCTTACTTTTTTTATTTGCACGCTCATTCATATTATGCACAACTTCATGCTCATTCACGTTATGTACAACTCTATGCATATGCCGAAGAGAAGAAACTATAAATTGAGTGAGAAAATTTAAATATTAAAGTAAATACTTAAATTTATAAATAAATAAATAAAACAAAAGCATTTTAGTGTGTCTATGAAACAAAAAAGCAATTTAATTTTTTTCTTACTTTTATATATTATATCAAATTGTATTAAAAAAAGTATATAAAATATTTGATTTGGGACAAGGGCATTTTAGTAATCATATTAGTTTATATTCCGATTCTGCTGAATTAGTAAACAACTTCTACAGGAATCCGATTTTGACTTCTCCACATTCCAACTCCTCCTGGATTCAATTCCTCCTATTTTTATTACGGTTACGTAAACGCACTATAAGTGTAAGACACATGATCTATAAGGTGGGGCACTGACGCTGTTAAATGACATATTTTTAAGTGTGCTCAGAATAAGTGATGAAACACCACCTGTTATTATACAATTGGAGGTACTCTGAAAAGCCAAAAAAAAAAAACCACTTTTCTCCAATTATGTAATGACATGTGTGTTCGGCCCGTGTTTGAAGCACACTATAAAATCTCTCATTTGAACAAACACATCCATCGTACACTGTTTGTTTGGTGAACAAATTTAGTGGCTGTGTACTGTGAACTTTGTTTCCCTGATTTTTTGACTCGTTGATCGTGTTAATTGACTTTTTTTGTTCATCATTTTATTTTCATTAGGTTCTTGAACAAGGCTGCTGTAATATTGGATAACGATTTGAAGCCTGATGGTTCTCCGGTCGATAACTGGAGGCTGTGCAGCGTGCAACAAGTGGAAGAACTTAAATGCGTATTAAAAACAATCCCGATATGGGCATCGGCCATAGTTAGCCTGACCGCCATTACACAGCAGGGCACCTTTACTGTGTCCCAAGCCCTAAAAATGGACCGTCATCTCGGCGCTAACTTCGAAGTCCCAGCTGGGTCCATCAGCGTCATCTCCTTTCTCACCATTGGCCTCTGGCTTCCAATCTACGATCGGATTCTAGTCCCATCCCTAAGAAAAATCACAAAGCGCGAAGGTGGGGTTACTGTCCTGCAAAGATGTGGAATCGGGATCATATTCTCCATCCTGTCGATGGCAGTGGCCGGACTAATTGAAAAGGAGAGAAGGAACTTTGCCAATTTCCACCCTACCGCACACGTGTCATTCCTCTGGCTGGCCCCACAACTTATACTGATGGGACTCTGTGAGGCGTTCAATATGATAGCTCTGCTGGAGTTTTTCAACCGGGAGTTCCCCGACCACATGCGCAGTATTGGAAATGCCCTCCTGTCTTGCTCCTTTGCTGGTTCGAGCTACTTGAGCAGTTTGGTCGTGAATGTGGTGCACCATGTTAGTGGTACAGAGAAGCATCCGGATTGGTTGACCAATGACATCAATGCGGGGAGATTGGACTACTTCTACTTCCTATTTGCTGGGATTGGGGTTCTGAATTTTGCCTACTTTCTGTATTGTGCACAACGTTATCATTACAAAGCCACAAATGTGTACGTAGATGAGGAGAAGCCGTATGATAGTGATCATGTGTAGTTAGGTTCAACCAATCATTATATATGGCTATGTATGTATGCAAATAAAACTTAATCAAATCGAATCAAACTGCTTTAATCAGTATTAGATATATACCAGGAAGATGTAGTTTAATTTTACATTATGTGAGCTGTAACATGGTATGGCTTAGTCTATTCATAAGGACAATTAATGATAAGGGTTCTACAACTTTGGATTTTAACCAAAAACTATGTAAAGAGTTTATTTAAAGGAAAACTAATGAAAAGAGTTTGAAAAATTTTAGTTTTAATAAAAAAATCATGTTATAAGTTTTGTTTAATGATTAGTACAAGACCCATATTAAAATAGTCCAACTAAAAATGGTCTAACTATAATAAATTATGATTTGTTGATTTTACCCCTAACTTTTTAGGTTGAGTTCTAGATTTTTATCATTAATGGAGTTCATTGTTGTTTTGCAGACCTTCTTCTTTTTCTTTGAAACAAAAATATAGATCCTCATGCTATTTAATTTATATTTTGTATTATTTCGTTGAAACGTGATCGTCGTTGTTATTCATAAAGTATTTGAGGTACTGTTTTTCAATTTTTCTTCGTTAGTGGAGTTCATCGTTTATTTCTCCAAAAAATAAATTTGAGATCTAGATGTTAGTCAATAATAACGACGGGGGTCACTGTTTCTGGACTATAAAAATAAACTGTTTCTGGATTTTAAGTCACACTATTTCTAAAATTTAAGTCACTGTTTCTGGATCCAAATAAAATAGACGCACTATTTCTTAAATGTAAGCTAGAAAAGAAATAGTGAAATTCATTGTATTTGGATTCAAAGCAAAATAAGCATCCTGTTTCTTAAATATAATCAACTGATGCATGAAAAAAAAGAAACAATCAAAGGTTAAAACATAGACTGCTTCTGAAATCTAAGTTACTGTGTCTGGAATTTGGTTCTTCTCTTTACAGATACAATGTTTGTTTGTGCATAGGAAAAACAAACACTGTATCTGATTTTTTTTATTTTTTTTTTTCTAGAAACAGTGTTATATTTTGAGTTCTCCATAAACAGTTTTATGTTTTGGTTTTTTTTTTTTCCCTATTTACAAACGCCTGATATGTACGTACATCACCAGGACTGTAGGTCCTTATTGGATCTGATTGGAATAAAATACTAACAGTATAAATTGTTCGAGGTGCAGATAAGAGGATGAGGATGAGGACTATGACGAGGAAGATGAGGATAAGGGCACGAAAAAAGCAGATAATAATTTTGGATAATTTTTTTATTAAACTTTGAGTCAGTTTGGTTAAATAACATTTTAAGATGTTTTTTTGTTAAATATTTGTTGGCCCAATCATTTTTCATTAAAACTCCATTTATTTAATAATTAGGACAAAGCTAAATACTTAACCAATCCAATCAACATGACCAATTGAAATAATCTAATGTGTTTCCAATTTTACCCTTAACTTTTACTCTGACGATTTTTAATCTTTCTGTTAGTTTATTGGGTAAATTACAATTTACCTTCTCAAGTTTGAGATTAATTGCAACCTCATACATTTACTACTATTTCATACAACCGTTACTTAATCTGTTAAATTGACTGTTAAAGTGGTGATGTGGCAACTATATGGGCCATTTTTTGATGACGTGTCAAATAAAAATAATTGAATATTATTTAAAAATAGAGAGTTTTAACGAAAGGCTCGTAGTACTATTCACTATAACAAAAGTCACATTTTTACACTAAAAAGTCAATTCTGGTACTATTCACTTTAGCCTTTATTTTATCATTATCGTTAAAATTTAAAGTTTTTAAATCATTTTCATTAATTTTTCTTTAAAAATAAACCAGAATTAAAATAAAGTGGACCCCACCCAGAAATTTGTTCTTGTTGTCATCGCTCATCCAACACTGCCACCACCGTTGCCGATTGGAGCATTGCACCCTGCCCTCCTCATCCTCAGATTCCACGGCTTCGCCACGGCGGCTCCGGAGACGGAGCCCTTCAAGCTCCCCATGGTAAATCATTCATTTATCATCTTTTTCTTTCGAATTTTTGGTTTTTTTTTTTGTATTTTTGTTTTTATTATTATTACATTTCTTCAGTCGAATTGATGGAGGTGGAGACGAGAAAGGTCAAACATGACAGGTACCGCCAATGGTTGATAAAAACCCTCTAGAACTCTTTCCTTTCCCTCTCTCTCTCTCTCTCTAAAACAATTCCTCTTTCTTGGTGGTTCGTTGAAGGGTTTCTGGAGGAACTTTTGGGGTTGCCATATTTGTGCTGGGTTTTGGTCCAGGAGATTCTACTTTGACATTAATTTCTTGGGGTTTTTCTAAATCTAGTTGATAGAAAATTGGCAGTAAGTTCACAATTTTTTGGGGTTTTTTGGTGCTTTATTTTTTAGAATGTATGAATTTTCTGTTTGCTTGTGGAAAAAAGAAGAGAATTTATTGAATTCCAGAAAAATATGATCTTTCTCTGATTTAATTTCTTCTAATTTTGGAAATTTTCTTTAGAGATTGGAATGGAAAAACATGAAGTGGGATTAAAAGTTTACTAATTTAATTTCTGAATTAATAAGGGCCGGAGCACAAGAAATCATATCTGTATAAGATCGGGCAGCTGGAGCTGACTTATTTGGACGGCAGGTGAAGAAGAATTTTGTATATTGAAGGGAGTACGAGTGCTACATTATGTGTTTTTATATAAGTAATAAGAAATTTTAATTTTTAAATTATTAATATTTTAACATACATATCTCATCAATTATATAATGATACGTAATATATCATATCGTGTGTTGATCACGTTGAAAAATCTTTCTAAACAAGGACGAGGAGGTCGACAACTTGAACAAAGGGTTAAATCCGTTCTTCATGCTTCTGCTTTTCGTTTTGTTGTTCTCAAGGTGGGTCATGAATCTGTAATAAGTGCCCGATATGGTGATCTCCCTGGCAATGCACAACCTGTGGCCTTAGGTTCAAGTGCCAAGAAGAACACATTAGTTTTGAAACCGAACGAAAATAACTTATATTAAAATTTGATCAAAATAACTTATTTTATTTTTAAAATTTGATCAAAATAATCCACATTATTTTTAAAAGGTAACAAATAAATATTATTTCTAAAACCACAACAAAATAACTAACATTATTTCTGAAAGTGAACCCAAATAACTCATAATATTTTTGAAATTACAGCAATATTACGCACTATTTATGAAAATTGAACTAAATTAACCCACATTATTTTTTAAACTACATCAAAATAACTCACACTATTTACGAAACTACACCAAAATAACGCACATTATTTCTGGAATTATAACAAAATAACTCACATAATTTTTGAAATTTAACCAAAATAAGCCACACTATTTATGGAAGGGAACAAAACAAACACTATTTCTGAAAGTGAACCAAAATAACTCATAGTATTTCTGAAATTACGGCAACATTACGCACTATTTATGAAAATTAAACCAAAATAACCCACATTATTTTTTAAACTACATCAAAATAACTCACACTATTTACGAAACTACACAAAAATAGCGCACACTATTTCTGGAATTACAACAAAATAACTCACATAATTTTTGAAATTTAACCAAAATAAGCCACACTATTTATGGAAGGGAACAAAACAAACACTATTTATGAAAGTGAACCAAAATAACTCATAGTATTTCTGAAATTACAGCAACATTACGCACTATTTATGAAAATTAAACCAAAATAACCCACATTATTTTTTAAATTACATCAAAATAACTCACATTATTTACGAAACTACACAAAAATAGCGCACTCTATTTCTGGAATTACAACAAAATAACTCACATAATTTCTGAAATTTAACCAAAATAAGCCACACTATTTATGGAAGGAAACAAAAACAAACCCTATTTCTGAAACTACAACAAAATAACTCACACTATTTATGGATTTGAACAAAAAATAACACAGATTAATGCTGGAACCATTAGAAAATTATACACTATTTATGAAACTGAATCAAAATAACCCACACTGTTTTTTTATGGGAAGAAAACACTCAGTTAACGAACCAATTTTTTTTTATAGAGAAAATAGTGCAAAAACATACAATTTATAAAAGGGAACTTTAACGAAAAGCTCTTGGTACTATTCACTTTAACGAAAAACCATATTTTTACACTAAAAAGTCAATCCTTGTACTATTCACTTTACCTTTTATTTTGTCATTTTCGTTAAAATTCGAAGTTTTCAAGTCATTTTTTTTAGTTTTCCTTTTATAAAACTAAAGAAAACACTCATTATTTCTATATCTGAAAAGAAAAAAAATGGTGATCAAAGTGCAGTGAAAACAAAATTCATCATTTTGTATTTATTTTTTATAGAAAAATTGATCAGTTTATGGAATCACAAGCATGAAAACATATTACAGTACTTTGGAAGTAAAAATTTTACAAGAATATGAGATTAGCATCTCTTTTTTGCCAGTTTGCTGTGACGAATTTTCTGTTTCTTGTGCCATTTGGTTTCATCCTGCTTTAGAATTTTGCATCATGCATAGGTCCATATGTGAAGCAATAGTAAAATCCACAGAGTTAATTAGTCTGAAAGGAATCTTATGTGTATCCAATGAAAGTGACGACAGTCATTGGATTAGGATGGAAACGAATGGGCAATTTGGTGGGTAAAGTGGCACCAAGTGATCTGACGGATGGGGTGTCCCATTAAAAACCACCATGATTAAATAGCCATTTTTATATTTAGCAATCCCACTTCTCCACTTGAACATGGTTCCTTGCTCTTCTGCGATATTTTTTCTCACCATTTTTAAGTTGAGGTGATGCTTACTATCTTATTTATTACTGTTAAATAAGTTTAAATTTTAAAATTTATATAATAGATTGACATGAATTTTAAAATTTTAATTCATTCAATAGTAATAAGTAAGGTAGTGAGCGCTACCACTACTTGAAGATGGTAAGGAAAAATGCATTCTCTCTCTTTGTAATCCACTTAAAAGAGATTTTAAGCACTATTAGGGCAGACTCTCTAGGGTCATAATCATAATCATGTAGCTCTAGCTAATGTAGTGATAATTCCATGATCTAAACATTTGTGCTGTCAATATCATAAATGATAAGCAAATAATGCTAGACAGCCTTTGAAAAACAAGGTGAACAGATTTTATTGGCGTTTGAAAGAAGCTTAAGGGTTTGCAAAATTGGAGTTTTAATAAAAAGTTTGCAGTACTGTTCATTTTAACGAAAAATCATATTATTACACTAAAAGGTCAAACCTGATACTATTTACTTTACCCTTTATTTTGTTCTTATCGTTAAAACTCAAAATTTTTAAACCATTTTTCATTAGTTTTCCTTTGCAAAATATGACGTGCAAGATGGAAGTTATGGTTTAGTGGTGGTTTTACATTAATGGTAGTTGGTGAGAGGGTGTTGGCACAATTGTAAACATGAAATTTTAACAAAAAACTTCCGGTACTGTTTATTATAACGAAAAACTATATTTTTATACTAAAAAGTCAATCCTAGTACTATTCAGTTTATCCTTTATTTTGTCGTTATTGTTAAAACTCAAAGTTTTAAATATCTTTTAATTAGTTTTCCTTTGTAAATATAAGGCATGTAACGGGCTGGGATAGTTTCTATTAGGGGTAATTATGGAAAGTCATATTTTCAACCGTTGGGCTTTCTAAGGCAGCCCGTGCATAATTTGCAATATTTGTCCTTATGGTTAAATTTTAGGCCTTTTTAGTTAAATAATAATTTAGGATAATTTTTTGGTAAATAAAAGTTGGTTCAAACCCTTTTCATTAAAATTCCTATATTCATATAATTAGTGAATAAGAGTTACCAGAATAAAAGCATGTATAATCCTAATTGGATAATATGTCTTACTTTTATATAGCGATATAATGTACTATGAGGGAATAAATCAGTTTTGAACTCGACACTCACAGGATTTGAACCTAAAATCTCTTACTTATAATTGAGGTGGAATATCATTAGTTGTAATATTAATTGGATAAATTAATGTTGTAATTTTAAAATAATACCCGAAAAAAATTAATGGAATTTTTTAGTAAACCAACTATTTATTTTCCTATTTTTGTTTGCAATACTAGCTATGTGTAACACATAACATGATAGTCGCAAATTGGTAAAATTAAGTTATGAGCGGGTACAAAACAAGAAAATGTGAGCGAACAAAAACAATTTTTTTCAAAAATCATTTCACTTGTGAACATATTGAAAACCATATATACGGCAAAACATACAATATATATACTTACATACATAGTACCAACAAAATTAAGCATGCCAGGATAAGTGAAGAATCCAGCAAATCCAGTGAACCACATCGTGATAAACTTATCTGTTGTATAGCTAGCATAAATAGGAACTGACTTACCAGCAAAAACGTGAAATGCTAGCGCTGTCGTCAACCAGCACAAATATGAAATGTAGTGGGAGGATGTGGTGGACTTGACAGGCTTCTACCTATATGTTCGAATTTTCAACGTCGGATTAATGTGATAGTGACCGGTCAGTGCGCGCCGCGCAATTTGCAAGGTCGACGAGACGAGAAAATATACGTGCGTTCCAAACAGTCAAATTGCTTTGTTGCAAGGTCGACGAGACGAGATATTATCGTTTGATTATTTTTATTTTGTTAATTAGTTGTATATGTATATAAATAGATAGGGAAAGAAGTGATAAACAAGGGAAATGACGGGTGAAATGTGAGAGATGGGATAATTAAAAAATGAAATTCAACCACTAATGAATCCTTTAAAAATATGATCTAAAAATATGATTTCCTAAATTCACTTTATAATGTGTGTGTAGACAATGTTAAATAGATCAACTTTTAGATCATATTTATAAACTTTATGACATGTCACAAATAAACCACGTCACGTAATTAATAATTTACAAAATATGATTTAAATAGATTCTCTCTATCATACCTTACACACACACACACACACACACAAAACAAAACATGCACCCATACCAATTTGATCCTCATCTCCTAGAATGTTCATGCAAATCCTTACCAAAAATTCGATCCTCGTCTCCTAGAATACTCATGTACACCAGCAGAATCTCCGACGTACTCGATCTACTGAGGTAGACAGGGAGTGGTCCTATTTCGTGTGGGTAAAGTCGTTTAATCAAATTGAAGATTCATATTCATATATATATATATATATATATATATATGAATGCAGGCTGCAAGTGCTGTGTATGGTTCAAATTGAATGTTAGCTTTTTAGTACCCCTGCGCAACTACCTAATCAACTCTGGTCGTAATGTTTTGTTACTAATAGTCTGATATCTACCTGTCCTTAACATAAGAAGCTACCGTGTCGTGAGAAGTCGACCTGCGCAGGGATGGACAGACCAGGACCAGCTGCTTAGTTATATAAAATAGACCGGAGTTAGGGAGTATGGTAGATTTTTCGCTCTCAATATTTATACAGTAATCTCAATGCAATATTTAAAAGGAAAATTAATTAAAAGGATTTAAAAACTTTGAGTTTTAACGATAAGAACAAAATAAAAGATAAGGTGAATAGTAGGGTTTAGATTTTTTAGTGTAAAAATATGATTTTTCGTTAAAGTAAACAGTACTGAGTGCTTTTCGTTAAAGTTCTCATATTTAAATTCTTATATTTGGTTCTGAAAGTGGTGGGATTTTAAGACTGGTACGAATGCATATATGGGTTGTAAATGTTGGATTAA